ATGTAAATTTATCTCAGAGGAAAAAACAAAACACATTCTCTAAATCTTAGTTGGTTGTTCTAACCACGTGTTAACTTCAGTGTAATCTGTGTCACTAGATGGATTCTTCTGAGAAGGGTAGGTTGCAGTGCTTGGGAAATACTGCATGGGAGGTTTTCATCCTATTTGCCAAAAAGGAAAAACTGATGATCTTTTGGGACAGATCTTGGAAGGGACAAATGACCAAATACTATGACCAAATGACTAAATGATAGAAAATATTTTTCTAGGGGTTTTGGGTGTGGAAGGAACGTGCTTGTCATCGTTTTTATGTATCACTTATTCATCTGTTATTTTTAGCATTAGGCTTCCTCCTCCCCGCTCCCCACGTCTACAGTGTACCATAGCCTCTCTGACCTCATTAGATGACTATAGCCATATTAGCAATAGAGGGGAAACTTTTGCACTGTGTTTGTGACAGAGCTTAAGAGTGGGAGTTTTCCTCCTTAATTTTGTTCTTAGTACTTTTTTTCTTTTGCAGCGGAAGTCAGTTCCTTAGAGTGAGTTCTCTTCGCGTCATCTTTGTTTTGTGCAAGGTGTTAGAAGAAATGAAAGCTCAGTCTACATAGAAGTTGAATGTTTATTTTTGTGTCCTGATATTTATCTTAGAAAATAAAGAAATGTCTAGGGACAATGATCAGTATTTAAGGAATTTAGGAAAAAAAGGGGAAAAACAGTCTTGGTTTAAGGAGATTGATTTTAGGCATTTTAGTGTTTGATCATCGAAAAAAATCTCCAGAAATTCCCTGATTAACATGATGTCAGATAATGTTACTGTGTTAGTGATGATGGTGATGGAAATTTCCCAACGTAAAGTTGTAATAGCTACAAAGCTGTCTTCTGTTTCTCCCATTATATTTATAAAAATGCATCTTTATCTCCTACTTTATCTCATAATTTTGATAATTATAAAATATGTTTATCTTTTTTTGTTGTTGTTGTTAATGCTTAAAATTTGGGGGCGCCTGGATGGCTCAGTTGGTTAAGCGTCTGCCTTCAGCTCAGGTCGTGATCTTGGGGTCCTGGGATTGAGTCTGGCATTGGGCTCCCTGCTCAGTGAGGAGCCTGCTTCTCCCTCTCTGTCCACCCCACTCCCTGCTCATGCTTGCGCACACACACTCCGTCTCTCAAATGAAATAAAAAAAAATTGCTTAAAACTTGGGCTGAGCTTTGCACATCAAGGTTGTAGAAGGCTGAAACACAAAATGTTCAGTAGGAATAGAGCACCCAAGTGAGAGGGTAGATAGTCTTACATCCTTCCCTGTTGAACACCTGGGGATTTGTGGGGAGAAATAAAGGTGGCAGTTAGATGAAAATGTGCGTGAGAGTTGCTGCGGTAGGTCTCAGAAGTGCACAGTCACCTGCTTTATGAGCGAGGGGGCCTGCGATTCAGGGGCTGCATTGTGAGTGCTTGATAGAGGCTGATTCCCCCATGCTGCTCCCCTCAGGGTCTGCTTGGGGCCTTTGCTACTCTGGGAGGGCGAATCATTCCCACTCTGGGGGCTCCGTTTCCTCTGCTGAGAAACAAAGATGTGGTAATGCTGTTGCCCACAAGCTCACTGTGTATGGTCACAGACTTTCTCAATGTCCCGACTCTGTCTGAGCTTGTGAATCTGCCTTTTTGCTTCCCCCCTTCCCTTCAAGTAACCCAAGCATCTGAATCCATGTCTTCACCACACTCTCACCCGGTGTTCTCCACGGTCCGTCTCTCAACTTCAGTGAGTCTGTCGAAAGAAAAATTGGATACTTCGTTGTTTCTTACCCAACCACAAATGTTCATTCACCCTTCATGGCGGATCTTCTCTAAAAGAACCATGACCTTCAAAAGGGGAGAAATCGTCTTTAAATGTAGAACAGCTGTGTGGCTGACGATGACGGGCTCTGCTATAGAAATCTGTGGAGGTGAAGGCTGGGTCTGTCAGCATTCTCCAGAGAAACAGAACCAATGGGATCTATGAGAAAATACGCATAAAGAGATTTATTATAACAAACACAGTCACATGACTGTGGAGACTCATAGGTCCCGAGAGCTGCAGTGTCAGCAAGACTCAAGAATGGTACCCTCGGGGCGCCTGGGTGGCTCAGTGGGTTAAAGCCTCTGCCTTTGGCTCAGGTCATGATCCCTCAGTTCCGCATCGGGCTCTCTGCTCAGTGGGGAGCCTGCTTCCCCCTCTCTCTCTGCCTGCCTCTCTGCCTACTTGTGATCTCTGTCTGTCAAATAAATAAATAAAATCTTTAAAAAAAAAAAAAAAAGAATGGTAACCTTCCCATTCCAAGACTGGTAGACTCCGGGCCCAGGGTGGGCTGATGTTTCAGTTCCAAGTCCAAAGTCAGAAAAAAAAAGCCAGTATCCCAGATGGAAGGCCACTAAGCAGGAGGAATTCTCTTTTCCTTGGAGAAGTGTCGGCCTTTCTGGTCTGTATTCAGGCCTTCAGCTGGTTGAAGAGGCCTGCCTACACTGGGGAGGGTCATCTGCTTTACTCAGCCTACCCATCTAAATGCTATTCTCATCCAAAAACACCCTCATAGAAACACCCAGAGTAATGTTTGACTACAACTCTGGACACCCAGTGGCCCAGTCACGTTGACGCCTATAGGACTGACCATCACAAATGCTGGGTCAGGATGAACATAGGAAACATTGTTGAAATGGAGAAGTCGTAAAGTCCCTTCTGGTTTGTGTTTCTCATGAAATTTAATTTTAAAATGACCTCTGCCATGTACAGTGTTGATTGAGACCCCAGTTCTCTTGAAACATAATCACATATGTTAATGAACTTCTTCATCTCTGTAAGGTCTGCTTTAGGCTCTCTGGGTCCCCTAAGCTCTTCTTCCTTCCAAATGACGTGAGCATTTGAATCCGTTTCCTTCTCATGGATTTACCTGCATTTTGTCCCAGCTTTTGGGTGGAGATGTCCAGCCATGCTGAAGATGATCACAGTGTTAATGGCAAGATTTTAAGACTGCCTGTGTATCGTTGGCGGGGGATGGTCATCACTTTCCGGTGATGTTTTGATGTGTAGACACATAAATATATTAGGTGATGCCTTTACAAATGCTTTGTAAACTGCAGAATTCCCCGAAAATATAAGTGTATCATCTTCCTTGGTCTCTCGTGATTGGCATAGACCCGGATTTTGTTTCATGCTTTTTGTCTTTTTACTCTGCCATGGATGGCATGGGCTCTTTCCTTCATGTTATCTAACACCTGATGGGTTTTCTGTCCTCTGATGCTTCCATCCCCAACACAGCCCCTAGAAATTATATTGTAAATGTTTTCACATGAAGGGGGAAAGGAGGGATACGCTTTAATACACTGCCCAATCTGGAAACATGTACATATTAGAAGAGAAAAGAAGGTGTCTCTAATTGTAGATTTTTCAGGAAATCAGCTAGAGAAGGTATTTGAGAGGCAGAACTGGGGTATAGTTTTTTCCGTGGCTTACAGCTTCTGGTAGGTGTCAGTTTATGGTTGTGTAATAACCATTTGTTACTTTTAGAATCTGGACTTCTCTAATGTGAAGACAGTTTGGACTGGCTTCTTAGTCCAGAGCTGTGTCCTCACTAAGGCTATGAACCAGAATTGCTGGAGCTGGTTTCCTAGATGTCCTACTTACTGGATAGATTCCTCACATATCTGGATTGGGCATGTTCATTGAGAAAAGCCAACAGGTCCTTCTAGTATTCGTGAAAGGCCGACACCAGTTGGCTATCACGTCACTAACATGCATGTACAGAAGCTTACACAAGGTTAAATTTGCTATGGAGTTTGAGAATCTGGGACTTGGTAGCTTTGCTGACAGACCTTGATGAATCAACAGATCATTTTAGATCTGGTAGCCATTGTATTTCTTCCATGTAGAGAAGGTACATGGTGACCTTCTGACGAACTTGATCCAGAGGACTTGGAGTGGGGGCTGTGTGAGAGTAGCCGGAGTTTGTGTTGCTTTTCTTTGGGGAGAGACTGAAGGGACCAGAGTGTTAAATGTTGGAGACCCTTCAAAATATCATTTATCCGGAATTAACGATTGACCTAGAAGGTTTGCTGTGAAGAGTTAGAACCTGTCTGGAGGCTAACCCTGGCCAAAGTAACGATGCAGCTGGTGCGGGTGAAGTGACACGTGTACCCTTATGACAAGCCTTCACTGCAGACCCTCTCCTGAACGTGGAGAAATTCTGACGGCCCTTGAGAGGGCAGCTTTCTGCTCTGCTGCTGAATCCCTGTGTTGGCAAGTTACTAGAGCCTTTTTCACCTTCTGGTTTCTCTTTAAATAAAGGTAAATGTGTTTTGATCCTTGGCAGGAGGGAAAGTGGCGCTCAGAATTTGACCATCTTTCTTTACCAATTGATAACTTCAATTTTGAAGAAAAAGCTCCCTGACATTTCATTGGTGTGAAAATGCGTTTTAATTTCATTCAGATGTAGAGATGGTGATTATTCTCTAATATACTTAAAATTGGAGTAGAAGCTCTATTTGCCTTTACCTTTGAAGTCCATTTGCTTCTTATTGAGTCATTTACTCAGAATGCGCAGCATTCACGTAAAAGACAGCGTGTCGGTCATCCAGCATCTGTCTGTGTGCAGTTTAGTTAATCTGGTGTAAGAGCAGAGGCTGGCAGTGTGTAGGGAAATTAAACAAAGTGAGACAACTACTTAGAGTTGTGTGTCCTGCCTTCGGTTGGCACGGCTTAGCGTGCTGGAGTTCTCCAGAGGTCATGGTGGTGTGGCCTGGGTTTGGATTGGGACCACCGGCTTTGTTCTATTTTGGGCCATCCTGATGAAGTCTGGTGCTGTCTGGGCAGGAGGGCTTGAGAGGGGGTGAGCGGGGAAGGTTCATTTCCACCACGCAGCACCGGCTGAAACAATTGTTCCTTGAAGTTTGTGAAAGGGACCGTATTTTCAGTTGGACTCATGAAACCTTCTCATTTTCATTTCAATCACCCCTGTTTGTTTTTAAACAGATCCAGCAGTGGGAGCAGAACCTGGAGAAGTTTCACATGGATCTGTTTAGGATGCGTTGCTATCTGGCCAGCCTACAAGGCGGGGAGCTGCCAAACCCCAAGAGCCTCCTGGCCGCCGCCAGCCGCCCCTCCAAGCTGGCCCTCGGCAGGCTGGGCATCTTGTCGGTTTCTTCTTTCCATGCTTTGGTAAGTTCCTGGGAAAGGCTGTGTGGCGTTCAGGGAGGATTGCAGATGCTCCCCTTTTCCCAGTGGACCGCCTGTCAGGTGCCCTGTGACTTAGCCCAGTACTGCCCAGGGAGTCCCCGGGGCTGGACACTGCAGGGACGGAGGGTGGGAGGCAGCCCTACTCCAGGACTCTCTAGTTCTCTGCTGCCGCTTCTAGGTACCCAGTGACTCGTAGACAGTTAAGAAATATTCACCTCTGTGTCTGCCGTACTGTCCGTTTCACTTCCTTCCATCAGGAGGGTGGAATCCCTGAAGAGAGACAATGAGGGTATGAAGAGTGGGAAGGCTGAGCGAAGGGGGTTTTGTCCGTATTACACAGAGCCCTGCTGGGTTTTCCACAGCGGCTCCCGGGTGGCTGGCTTCCGTGGCGAGCACGAGCTCCAGCCTGGGGGGTATGCGGGTCATTTTGCCAACCCCACAGCTCACCCTGGACAGATCAGAACATTGAAACTTGGCTGGCGTTATCCAGATAAGAGATAGCCATACGGTGCATGCGTGTCTGGTATGTCAGACACGCAGTAGCTTTTGGGCAGAAGTGATGATTACAGAAAGCAGGGCTTACTTCTGTTCAGGCAACAATGAATTCTGTCACCCGGGTAATATGCTTTAAGATGTTTAAACCTGTGTTTTTAATTAGGTATGTTCTAGAGATGACTCCGCCCTCCGGAAAAGAACACTCTCACTGACCCAGCGAGGAAGAAACAAGAAGGGTATATTTTCTTCATTAAAAGGGCTGGACACACTGGCGAGAAAAGGGAAGGAGAAAAGACCTTCTATAACTCAGGCGAGTTCCTCAGGACAGGAGGGACAGCAGATTTACTGGGAAATCCTGGACAGTCAGCAGATCACAAATGTTCAGCAACCGTTAAGAATGAGATAGAAGTTGAATCAAAGGAATGCAGTCTTGGCATGGGTTTTTTCCAAAGGGGAACACACAAGTTGCCCAACCTCCAGATGGCACTTCCGAAAATGCATTCACACCTTGCTCACAGCTGCAGCTCGGGGCACACAAACATAGTCAGAATCATTACCTTTAGAATAGTTTTTCCCCTACGATTTGATATTAAAATAAACATGTAAAAATAATAGAATAACGGCAACCAAATTCTATTGATAGTGCTGAACACTTTTCTCACTTAAACTTTATGACACACAGGAGGCATTTTGTCATCAGATTTTAGAGATGAGAAGCCTGAGACATGGTGAGGTTAAGTCCCTTCCTCACCCTTGTTCCCATGGCGCCCGTGGGGCGGGGCCTGGCTTCGACCTCCCTGGACCCAGGGCTCTGCTATACCGGGCTGTTACAGCTGCTGATTGTCCTTGAGGAGAAGGACACCTGTTTTAATATTTTATTTTATTTTATTTTAAATAAGTAATTTTAAAGAGATTTAACTGAGAGAGAGAGAGAGCGCGAGCAGGAACAGAGGGAAGGGGAGAGGGAGAGGCAGACGCCCCGCTGAGCAGGGATTTCCCCATGCAGAGCTGGATCCCAGGACCAGGATCATGATCTGAGCCAAAGGCAGATGCTTAACCGACAGAGCCACCCAGGTGCCCCTGTTTTAATATTTTAAAAATAATCTGAGCACTCATTGCTGAAATGGGGCTCATGTATAGTGAATTGTCTTTAGAACATTTTGAATACTTCTATCTGAAGTATTTCCTAATGACATTAGTAGATGATAATGAATTTTATGTTGCAGACTGATAGGTTTTAGGATTATTGTTTTTCCAAAGGCTGTTGAAAAGATGAATTCTTTATGTGTTAATCTGATCCTTTAAATGGGAAGGAAAAATATGATTAAGTCTGAAGAAATTCCTGGTTGTACTTTTAACATGTTGTTGTTCTGAATAGGCTTCCAGTGTTAGAGAGTCACATCTGGAACTTGATTTTCTGATTTTATGTGGATATTTATTTGCTTGTATGTCCTAGTTTTGGGAATTGTGTGAATCACAGATAGAAGCCACTCTTTTGACCTGTTTATAGCCCTAGCATAAAGGAGGAGTGGTGGACAAAAACACATGAACCCTCTTTTCTATGGCCTCTGTTTTCCATATTCCTGCAAAATTTTAATATATTCCTATACAGTGGAAAAGAATATCATATCTAAAAATTGTGGTTCTACTTGTAGTTTAATTGTAAAGTAATCATGTGTTCATTGTAAGTGGGAAAATATTTCTTCATTATAGATGGTAGTCACCTATATACCATTGGCTAATGCTAGGCTTATATTTTTGAATTGAACTTCTATGAATGTATTTGAGACAAATTTTGTTTTAATCAAGACAGTCAATCCTGTCTTAATAATGATAAATAACTTGATAACTTGCTGCTTTTTCTTAGATGTTGACATTCAAACAATATCTGAGCCTAATATGGTCTTTATCCCATCCAATGTGGTAAATGTTCTTAACGTAAGCTTTCTTGAGAAGCAAAAGCATTTTGATGAACATTTTTGTTTTATAAAGTTAGGAAACTAATTAGTGTTTGTATTTAGGTAACTCAATGAAGTAGAGGTGGTAGGTACCCATAAATGTTTAAATGGCCAGATCTTTAGTGTTTATAACTTCAGTACAAAATCTAGAAGATAAAAATTAGAAAAAGGAAATCATTCCTTGTCCCTCTACCCAAACACAACTGCTGTTAATGGTTAGGTATATTTCTTCCCAATTTCTGTTCTCTTGTTCTGTGCACGTTCAGAGAAGAGTGACAAACCCAACTTTGAGCTGTTTTACATCTTGAGAAATGTGTACTTCTTGGTTAAAAACAATATCAAAAAGATCTAGGATTGCTGGAATAATAAACATTATAGAAAAGTAAAATTTGTAATCATAAGGGAAGTAAAAAAACCAACTTTTCCTTAAAACTTTAAATGTAATAGAGGAGTAATTGGTGTAAATTGTGATATGAAGATCCCATAAAAAGTTATGGAACATAAAAGTTTAAATACTGAAAAAGGGTAGCTGCCAAATGAACATTGCAGAGCCATTTCATTAGCCTTTTCCGCCACTCCTGTCCATCAGGTGTTTGATTTAAGTGGCAGATGGGCATTTTCTGGAACTTCGCTTTCTTAAAACTCCCAATAACTCCAGTGAGGGGAACGTTGCTATGGGGGGCAGCCATCTTGTTTTACACTGATGACGCAAACGCTAATCGGGCAGTGCTGGTTCACAATCTTTACATGAATCTATTGAAAATAAATTTAGAGTTCATTGTTCGTGTGTAAGAAAGCAACTGATTTCTGTGCATTGATTTTGTATCCTGCCACATTACTGGATTGCTGTATAAGTTCTAGTAGTTTGGGGGTGGAGTCTTTTGAGTTTTCCACATAAAGTATCATGTCATCTGCGAAGAGAGAGAGTTTGACTTCTTTGCCAATTTGAATACCTTTTATTTCTCTTTGTTGTCTGATTGCTGTTGCTAGGACTTCTAGTACTATGTTGAACAAGAGTGGTGAAGAGTAGACATCCTTGTCGTGTTCCTGATCTCAAAGGGAAGGCTGTCAGCTTTTCCCCACTGAGGATTCATATGGTCCCTAGTCGGGAAATAAGAGATATTCTCAGAATGCCAAGCAGTTTTGAAGATACCTAAATTCATGGTAACCCTGTCTTAAAAGTGGCATGGCTAGTCTAAGATCAAAAGAGCAACTTTTGTTTATACTTCCCCTGTTGCTCAGCAATACTTACCCTCCTTTGAGAGTTTGGTGAATCCAAAATTGCATGTTCCTCTTAGGGTGGTTGGAGATCTTCACAGACAGTCCCTCCAGGTTGTGAGTCAGTAGCCTTTGCATCACCAAGTGCCTTCAGTGGAGCGAAACACAGGGTCCTTGTCTAGACTCTAAGTTTCTGACTAAACGACTCAGAACCATTTCTGAATGGAATTGTGGGAGTAGGGATGAAGTTAAGCTTTTCCTTTGGGGTTCTTTTTCAAACCCGCACCTTCCCCTACAGCTGTGTTTCATGTTACTGAGCGATTTCTCTGTCTTCCCCAAATCATTTTGTCTTGAGTTTTATGTCCAGTAAACCTCTCAACTATTTGTGGAAGTTGAAACCTGATTTTTAATAGGCCTGGACATATTTAATAAGCTTTTGCAAAAGTAGGCAGTATTATTTAATTAATTGGGATAATTTGGCCACTTGACAATTTAGTTGGGAAACACTGAGGAACGGTTGAGTATTACGTTGTTGACGGGTCCTGAAGGAAGGGTAAGGGAGGTAATTTCTGGTGATCCTAAAATTATACAACACAGACAGCTACCTCTTCTACTTTCCTGTGAGCTTGGCCTGGACTGTGGGCCCCAGAGCTGTCCAGTATGCTGTATTGTTGTCGACACTGCTCCTAGTGGGCTGCTCTGCCTACGGTGTCCTGGGGTGGGGTAGAAAATCTCCACTCAAAACCCCATTCCCTTTCACCTTCCCTTCTCAGAGGTCAGGGGCTGCAGGAGCTTGGGTATGAGACAGACTGGCTTATGCCAGGGGCCATGTAGCTATGTTGCTCCTCTCTTTCTTGGTGCTTTCCTCCTCTTAGATCAGACCAGCCATGGGGCCACAAGGAAGCCAAATCCAAACTTTCCTTTTTTTTTTTTTTTTTTAAAGATTTTATTTATTTATTTAGAATGTGAGCAGGGGAAGGGGAGGGTAGATGGAAAGAGGGAATCTCAAGTAGACACTCACCCCTCTCCTGCTGAGAACCCCATGTGGGGCTCAGTCTCACAACCCTGAGGTCATGACCTGAGCTGAAATTGAGAGTCAGATGCTTGACCGACTGAGCCACCCAGAAGCCCCTCAAACCTTCCTATTTATACATCATACCAGCAAACTGTCAGACTTATAAGTGAATGTAATAATTTCAGTCCCCTTCCCCTTTATTTCTACACATATGCGGAGCCTATTTCAAAATCCAGATCAAATTACCATCTTTTTAAAAAAAAACTTGATTAAAACAATTATATCACGATTACAGTTTTCCCCATGAATCGGAAGTAGGGCATTCCTGTAAAACCTTTCATAAGCTGAAATTTATTAAGCATTAATTTATCTGGAAAAATTTTGAGCATTCCCAGAGCCAAAAAATAACCTCTTGGGTTTTTCTGATACCTTAGGGCGCATCTCACGAAAGGATACACAGAATAAGTCGAGGTGTAAAGCTCAGATGCTCAGGGACCCAGTTCCGAGCTCCGTGGATGGATCTCACATGCAGGTGTAGCCCCAGGGAAGGACCTTGGCCGTGCCCTCTTGCTGCTGGGCTGTGCGTGCTGTCCCTACAAGGGCTTGCTGATGCAAAACAGACGCTGAATATGTGTTTGCTTTTCACTTGATTTCATCAAAGTGGAAATCTTCTGAGGATTTTTTTCCCCTTAGCTATAACAGGCACAAGCACAGATCTTTCAGGAAAGCAAAGTGACATAAGGGGAACTACAGAAAAGTGGCGACACGTCTACTTCTTTGGTCTGCTTCCTCTTAGCCTCAGTGATGCAACCACGTTGTGTCGCCCCGGCAGTCTTGTAATTGGGACCCTTGCTCTGTATAGTTTATATTTTGTGGTTATGTATTCTCAGTCCATAGCACACTAAGGATAGAGTATCACTTACTACATCTTCCTGTTGTCTATATTAGATGCAGTCCTTTAATAGTCGTTGGAAAGTCATGTTTGTTGTGCAATAAAAAACAGTGTGAACATCTCTTCTGTGGCTAAATAATTTAAAATTCTTACTTTGAATCTTAGGAAATTCTTTCACAAAAGCATTTTTTTTTTTAATTGAAGTTACATCAGGCTTTGGAGAGAAA